CTACCCGCACCCCCGGCGCCACACTATCTCGCCGCCGGCGCACACGGACGCACCCCGGCGCACACTATCTCGCCCGCCGGGCCGCACACTACGCACCCCCGGCGCCACACTAATCTCGGCCGCCGGCGGACGTACCACGACACCCCGCGCACACTATCTCGGCCGCCGCGCGCCCCACACTACGCCACCGCCGCGCGCCCAGCAACTATCTCGCCGCCGGCGCCGTACTTACGCACCCCGGCGCAACACAATCTCGCGCCGCGCGGCGCACTACGGCACCCCCGGCGCAACTATTCTCGCCGCCCGGCGCGCACAACAAAACAATACGCACCCCGGCGCACACTATCTCGCGCTGCGCCTACTACGCCAACCCCCGGCGCGCTCACTATCTCGCCCCGGCCGCGCCCACTACGCCACTTCCGCGCGCACACCATCTAGCCGCCGCGCGCGCACTACGCACCCCGGCGCACACTTCTCGCCGCCGGCGCCACACTACGCACCCCGGCGCACACCATCTCGCCGCCGGCGCCCGCACTACGCACCCCCGGCGCTTACTATCTCGCCCCCGGCGCGCACTACGCACTTCCGGCCGCACACGCATTCTAGCCGCCGCGCGCCGCACTACGCACCCCGGCGCACACTATCTCGCCCCGGCGCCACACACGCACCCCCGGCCAACACCATCTCGCCGCCGCGCTACTACGCACCCCCGGCGCCACACTATCTTCGCCGCCGGCGCACACTATCTCAGCCGCCGCGCGCCACGACGCAATCCCAATCCAGAACGTACACAAGATATTCACCCGCGCGCACACTATGCTCGCCCGCCCTGGCGCGTACTACGCACCGCCCGGCGCTCACTATCTCGCCCCGGCGCGGCACTACGCGCACTTCCGCGCGCACACCATCTAGCGCCGGCGCGCACTACGCACCCCCGCGCCCCACACGATAATCGCCGCTCCCGCGGCGCCACACTACGCACCCCCGCGCACACCATCTCGCGCCGCGCGCCCATCTACGCACCCCGGCCACACAATCTTCGCCGCCGCCGCGCGTTACTACGCACCCCGGCGCTCACTATCTCGCCCCCCGGCGCGCACTACGCCACTTCCGGCCACACCATCTAGCCGCCGGCGCCGCATCACGCACCCCCGGCGACCCACACTATCTCGCGCCGGCCGCGCACTACGCAACCCCGGCGCACACTATCTCGCGGCCCCGAGCGCACAACACGCACCCCGGCGCCACACCATCTCGCGCCGGCGCGTACTACGCACCCCCGGCGTACACTACGCCACCCCCGGCGCCCACACATCTCGCCGCCGGCGCACACTACGCATCCCCCGCGCGCACACCATCTACGCCGCCGGGCGCATTATAGTGATATTATATTTTATATTAATGAGTAAAATGTGTTTTTCATAGAAAATACATCAGAAAACTTACTTATCTACTGATGATGAACTAAAAGAAATATTTACAAATGGGCGTTTGTTCTCTTGTTTTGAAGGTTTGTTGCGTCAAAGCAAATCAAAGCAGCCAATTAGAGGAACCCGTGTAGAACGTTTACGCATTTGCGGTACGGAAAAATAGACGCGAGCGGCATACCCGGCGTTGCCCGGGGAAATCAGTGGCGTTACTCAGTTGGTGACCGCCTGGTTGAAAGGAAAATACCCACAAATATCTAACTATCTATCTATCCATGCATCCATCCATGCATCCATCCATCCATCCCATTCCATGCCATCCCATCCCATCCCAACCCATCCCATCACACTGCATCCCATCCTATCCCATCCCATATCCCATCCCATCCCATCTCATCCCATCTCATGCCATCCCATCCCATCCCATGACATGCCATGCCATGCCATGCCATGTCATGCCATGCCTTGCCATCCCATCGCACCGCATCCCATCCCATCCCATGCCATATGTCATGCCATGCCATCCCATCCCAAACAGTAAAAAATAATAAGAAATCAAAAGATAAAAGACATTAAATATACAAAATAAAAAATAAAAAGTAAAAAATTAAAAATAATACATACTAGAGGTAGGTAAAGGGGAAAAAAGGGAAACAGGGGAAATATGTTCCCCAGCTGGGACTCGAACTCGGAATCACGGTGTAGAAGACGGATGTTCTAGCGATTAGGCCACTGCGCCGTTAAGGGCATACCCATGGATTCACACGTAGGGGGCCTACGTGATGTTAATCTGTACGCACCGCCACTGCCACCGTTATCTATTGATGAATAGAATTTTTATGAATTTTTAACTTTTTTAAAATTTTTGTTTTAGCCAGAACCACCTCCCAGACGTACGTGCTGATTCTGAAAATATCTTTAGTTTTCATCTAGGCTGCGGAGTTCTCTAGTTATGCGAGTACGAACTAATTCGGCTGAACAACTTTATATATATAGGCCTATAGGGGGGAACGGGGGGGGGGAGGGGTACATTCCAACTTTCCCAGCAAAAAAACACCCCATATCCCAGTTCCCAGTAAAATAAAATCCCAATTCCCAGTTCCCAGGAAAATTATGTAGACATGTTTCAGGAAATTCAGTAGTTTAGGTTTTCAAACACTACATAAATACTAATATTTACATACTATTATCTGGGCATAATTAATAAAAAAAATAAAAAAATAAAAAATAAAATAAATATTAGCGCAGAAATTGAAATCCCGACGAATTGACACAATTTTCCCAGATCCCAGACAATTTTAGAGGGTCTTTCCCACGTCCCGATGGACTTCTGTTCCCGAATCACGGAAAATTTATCTAACATTTCCCAGTTCCCAGCTAATTAAAATGGCTAATCCGGCGTCCCGAGAATACTCGTTCCCCCCCACATATATAGATGAAGAATGAATCTATGCTGACACTCAAGAGACTGGAAATGTATTCATGTTGTTTGTGCACATGGTGTGCGTGGACTGTGTGCGGTGTACTTGTGGGTACGTGCGATTGTAAAAATATAGACAGCGTTAGCCTTGGCCTGGCTGTTCTTCGACTCAATAGTAACAATACGTTTTGACAAAAACATAGCATCGCACGAAGGGTCGTTGTCGTATCAGGTACTACATATATACCCGAGGTAGTTTTAGGTTGTTTAGTATTAGGTTTATATTTTTATATGAGGTATGTTTAGGGTTAGGGTTAGGGTTAGGGTTAGGGTTAGAGTTAGGGTTAGGGTTAGTGTTAGGGTTAGGGTAGACTTCTGTAGTACAAGTCTGGTACACTTTGTGTATACATATATGTACCTCGGGTACATATATGTAGTACCTGATACGACAACGACCCCTTTAGCCATAGTATCGCGTGTGAAAATGCTGCAACTTGTATACTAATATCACTATCAGATAATGCATTGCCATTATATTGAATGCTACATTTTATAAAGTGTGATTGGCAGGTTATATGTAGTCGTGGTGAGTAACTAGATGAAAAACATGTCATCGGTATTACCGCAAACACACCAGGAAACATATAGCTTTGTATTGTAAGCCAACCGAGGACAGTGCAACTCCGAAAGAAATTTTAGGGATCAACAACAATTACAACAAGAACAGCAGTGAGTTCATTACAGTATATTGCACCGTACAATGACAGTGATATAGTTAGCGATATATAGTGTGACAGAGTGGCCAACAACAGGCAATACTAACAGAGGTTACTACTCACAGGCACCCGGAGTGGAACGTTTCAGTAAGAAAATGCTGGCACCCGCCACGCTGGGAATTTGATTGTCGGTGTGAGAAGTATTCTGATCCCTTCTGATGCCTTCTCTCTCTCTCTCTAGCTCTCTCTCTCTCTCTCTCTCTCTCTCTCTCTCTCTCTCTCTCTCTCTCTCCTCCT